CAATGCACGTCCACATGTTGCACGTTTGATTGTGGAGTTGGGTTGGGAAGTTTTCCCCCGCCCACCATATTCTCCAGATATGGCACCATCAGATTACCATCTTTTTCGTTCGCTGCAACACCATCTTAATAGGAAAACGTATGCAAATGTGGAAGGTGTTAAAGAGCACATCGACATGTTTTTTGCTTCAAAGCCAAGTGATTTCTTTAATCAGGGCATTAACAACCTGATTGTAAAATGGAAAAGCATCATCGATAAGAATGGAGACTATTTCATTAAATGTTTTATTTTGATATAAAAGTTGTTCGGGTTTTTTCATCTAAAAAATTCTTGATGACTTAATATTTAGGATTAACCTAAATCTCCTCAGCTGGCCAAATCTCACCAGATAATACTGGGATTATGGCAGAAAATATTGTTAAAAACGAGGGTACCCAACTGATGAAACAATGCATTCTAATCTTTATTAGTAGAAAAATAAGAAAAAATAGACTAAATTATTTATACTGATAAATAGGTTGATTTTGAGTTTCACTCAAAGTTCATAGTTTATCTAATCGAAAGTTAATATTATTTGCGTTTTATAATTAGTGGTACTGTTACAGCAAAGAAAGTCCTGAAAAATCTTCAGTTGCTTCTATGAAAACGTTGAAAAAAATGTTGCCAGTATTTATAGAAAGTAAATGTTTTTCATGGTGAACTTGTGTGGCTCAGCGGTAAAGCTGATAACTTATGATACTCAACATCTGGTTTTGATACTCTCGGTGGCAAAGCACAGATAACCCATTGTGTTGCTTTATGTTTAATAACAAACAAACAAAAAGTTTTCATGATTTCTGTCACGTGTTAATAAAATACTTAATTAAGTTTTAACAACGCTTTTCTCTAAGTGTTTGATAAAGTACAGTGCGACTCAAAATGTTAGGGACCGGCATGACCAGGTGGTTAGTGCGCTTGACTTGCAATCTGAGGGTCGCACCAAACATGCTCGCCCTTTTATCCGTAGGGGCGCTACCATGTGATTGTCAATCGCACTATTCATTGGTAAAAAGAGTAGCCTAAGAGTTGGCGGTGGGTGGTGATGACAAGCTGCCTTCCCTCTAGTATTTCACTGCTAAATTAAGGACGGCAAGCGCAGATAGCCCTCGTGTAGCTTTGCGCGAAATTCGAAAACAAATAAACAAAACAATGTTACAGAAATATAACATTGATGACAAATGTAAAAAGGAACAACAAAGTAAGATGTCTGTCTGCTGTCTTACATTTCTAACTAATTGACTATTGACAGAAGGTAGCAAACATTTTTGTAATATTTGTAAAATATTTGCTTTCATGTAAGTAGTGATACCGGTGGAAACTAACAACGAAGTATAAATGACTAAAAACTATCTTTTGAGTCGCATTATTTATTGATATAATTTTATTAATTTTTTCCATACTCTTTTATTACAAACGTTTAGCAGGTGGCGAATTTTTCTGTCGACCATTCAACGTAGTACTACGACAACCAGTATGAGAGATTTGCTTTCTGATGCAGAAAGTAATGGAATCGATAGCCCAAGTTCTTCATTTCCTCCATCAGAAACTTCTTCAACAGCAGAAATAACCGAGAAGACCAATAAAGATCAGCAAAGCTTACGTCACGTCATTCTTCTGACATTATTAAGCATATCTATGACTGTGGTGAGTTTTTATTTTGAAGTTCCAGAAATCCAGTTTCTTTAGCTCTGTTTCTCTGTTATCATTCGATTATCAATCTAAATCGTCAGAAAGCATTTCTTATTCAAACTTTTAGTTTTGAATTTAATGTTTGTTATTATTCTGGTAAGCATATCCTTGGCCATGGCGTATTGTTATATCTTTTTTTAACTCGTTTCTTAAATTTTTATTGTTATTTGAAATAACAATAAAAATAAAATAAAGTACTAATACGCATTTCAGAAGAGAAGATTTCTTACCTATAAAACGATGAACCGTATAGATAATGTATTGTACTTATTTTTGCATGTTTCAAACTTTCAGGGCCTAACGGTTAGTGTTTGGAAGTTAATAGCAGAAACGCCCAGCGGGTTATTCGTAGCAATGGAGTTTTTAGATGGTGTGCTCAACTTTGGTCAGGTACGGAATAACTTGTTTACAATATGACAAACACTTAGTTAGGTTGAGCTGCTGTGAGTTAATTTCGATTACATTATGTTCTTTACTTTTACTGATATGACCAACTATAGACTCGGTTTACTTGCTATAATAGGTTTATTAACGAGCTAATTTAGAAAGTTGCGTTAATTCTTCGAATACCAGCAGAAACGCCGCCCGACGGGAGGCTGTTTATGCTAATAATTATTAATTGTAGTATTCATATTTCATTAAAAAATTTAGAAAAAGTGGACATTTTTTAAAAAAGCATCTTTTTTTTATTTGGGAAGTTCTGCTCGGGAAAAGTGTTCGGATTGTGCTATTTAGCCATACGCAACTCGTTGCATCAAAATGATTCAACGTACAGAGTTCAAAATGTTCATAAATTTACTCATATAACTTGTAATGTTTTAATATGTTAAAAGTGGTACCGTTTATTGAAAAAAACAAATATATTTTCCATTAGAACTCCAATTTCTCAGTACTACATTTATAAATTATATAAATAAAGATATATAATCAAACCCTCATGTACAATCGTAGTGAAAGTCGTGTTCTTGTTGTAAGGAGAGTACTTTTGTTTAAAATTGTGTTCTATTATAAAGAAATGATTGTTGCACATACCACAGTTAATTTTCTAATTGTCTGAATCTTGAATACCCAAAGTTTGAACTTTTTATGGATTTTTGTTTGGGGTGCCATTCAATAGATGGTGCAGGAGTTTTGGTTACATACATAGATTCTTACATACACGCTACGTCCGTTATGGTAAGAAGTTGACTACCATTAAGTTGTGTTGCTAACAAGTTCACTAACACTAACAGGCTGACCTTGATTACATTAGTGCGACTATAATCGTAATATTATCTCTGGGTTAAAATGTGGGGTTTCCTTGTTTCTTTGTATCGGTGTTCATGACGAAAAGTTTCAAGGCATGGGCCCGAGAAGCAGTTACTAGTGAAACTATTAAAACATAAGTGCATTTTGCAGTGTACTGTATTATAATGGGCCCAAGAAGCAGTTACTACTGAAACTATTAAAACATAAGTGCACTTTGCAGTGTACTGTATTATAATGGGCCCAAGAAGCAGTTACTACTGAAACTATTAAAACATAAGTGCACTTTGCAGTGTACTGTATTATAATGGGCCCAAGAAGCAGTTACTACTGAAACTATTAAAACATAAGTACACTTTGCAGTGTACTGTATTATAATTAACACAAGATTAATTAGAATACAATATATTATGAAGCTGCATTATTTCTTATTTCTTTTAAATATTTAAGAGAAATCAATAACTGAAACTTAATACTCTGGCAAATACGTAGAATAGTAATTGGTTTGTTAACTGTGTTGAACAGTGAAGTAGGAACGATATCTTTTTTCGTTAGTATTTTACAGCAAGATATTGTTTTGAAATCAATTCTGAAGTTAAAAGTAAACCTTTTATATAACAATCGGACAGTTAAAAAAAACAAATCTAATGTTTTATTCTGCCTTTCTCACAGTAATACATATAATTGAATGTTTTTTATCCTACTTGTCTCATGTACAATTAGTCAACATTATGAGATTATTTCATAACACTTAAAACAACTTATGCCTAACCTGACAAAATTTTTTACTATTATCATTAAAGTATTATTTTTACATTATTTTAATGCCTTTAGATAATGTGCTTTTTGGCTTCAATTATCTTTGTGGTTCTCAAATACATATATTAATTAAGAATGAAATAATTTAACGAAGGCCTAAACTAGAAAACATTTTGTTAAGCGTAAATCACTAAGCACGGTAGTGTTTAGTATGTAGGGATTGACTGGGAAAAAATGGCCGCTACATATTATGTATAGTCTCAAATCTTACTTATAACAATCTAAGATACTTTTATAAACACCTAACTTAGGTTTTCGAGGCTTTCTAAAGCTGTTAAGACCTTCAGTTTAGACAAAATAATATAGCTTAAGTAGAGAACCAGCGAGTATCGTAACAACCAAATGTTCTGCTGATTATTCTGATTCTGTTATGAGAAGGGCTAAATCACCGATGCTTCAAGTTGTTGCATTTTAACGTGGGGAGTGCAGAAGCAGTATAGAGTTTCACTAACTTCAACACATGATATTCATGAAGATGACTCATCACGCCATGCTAAAACTGCTGCCTTCATAGCGACTGCCATTCATTAATGTTTAGAAAAGAGGGGAAACAAGTAATAAAACAAATTTTGAAAAAAATAAGTATGATGTAGGGATGGCAATGCCAAAAAGTACAGAAACAAGGTAAAGATGAATGCGCAAAACCATACAAAAATCCCTACATAAGTAGTCACTGAGTCAATGTTACAAGCTTATGGGAATTAGCCATTGTAAGATTTTATAGCGTTATTGAGTTTAAATGCTTTTATTCAAACCTGAATTCATACAAATGAAAGGAATTTAACGTTTAGTTGTAGATAAAAGATTTTCTTTGAAAGATTTGGTTACTTATGTAGTGATTTTGTATGGTTTTGTGCATTCATCCCTACTTTGTTTATATATCTGTTTGGCATTGCCATCCCGACATCATCCGAATTTTTTTTTCAAAAATTATTTTATTGTTTGTTTTAATATGTCTTCACTCTTCTGTAGTTTGCAACTTCAACTTTATAACTTTCAATGTTACGTTAAAAGAAAATTACTTTACACCTAACTGACCAATAATCTCCCTCTCGCCGTTACTTCTTATTATCATTTTACACACTCCATCAAATTTCCGCTTTATCTAAGTCTAAAGTAACTGCTGGTTCGCGCTGACACTGCATACCTCTTCCCCCCACCTCACCTGGTAACACAGACAAATTTTTGAAAATAATTTATTCTTATTATTGATTAATGATTCAACGAGAAAGAGCCCCCCTCTCTGGTTTTAGTTGTCTTTGATATTTTGTTAAAATGAGAAACAAAAAAGTATCTAATTTGACTGATTTATATTATGATATCAAAGTTTTCCGGTGAACTGAAAAATACATCCCGGGCTCTGATTTTTTGCCTAGATACGCTCCTTCTATTAACTGACCACCGTATCCTGCAACGTCTTTCTCCACTATCATGATATTCTTAGTCTCTCGCCTTATTCTCAGTATTTCAACCCAGATATAAGGATCCCTCCACACTGTCCAGTACTGTGGAACTCTTATGTCTGCTATCATTTGAATGACCATTCTACCTTCCTGGGGAAATTTAATCCCAGTGTTGTGTGCTGATTTATGTGTCAAGTCAATCATGGTGTCAACAGGAGGGACTCCTATTGCGTAGCTATGTATGTTCTGAACTGAAAATAATCCTCTTCCATCCATAGAACAATAGAAGGACGCCGACTTCTCCGAAAAGTAGTAAGACCTATGTATTCAGACAAAGATAATTTGGTCGCATCAATAACACATAATATAAACCATCATAAACTTACACCTGATTAATCATTTACAGCCAAGACTCACATCCTTACACATTATGTTCTTTACTAATATGACCAACACTAGGTTAAGAGAATGTAAAGATGAAAAGATTATTTTACAGTTTCTTCAGTTCAGAGTTTGTAATGTAAATTTTAGGGGTAATAGCTAGGTAAAGGGAAAATTCGTTAATGCTGAAATAGAATGCCCAAAATACAGAAATGCAACTTTTAAATGATGTATAGAAGTTAGACCGAGGTTTCATTTTTGGATTTTGTCTACGAAGCTATACAGAACAAGAATGTAATTGGAATTAAAATAATACAGTTGGAAAAAATATATATACATTAAAAATCCTTACATACGTTTTCTTTTTGACATTGATTATTATGTCAAAATCTAAACTGCAGTTTGTCAGTAATTGATAAATGCTAGTTTTTGGCTGTACTGTAGGTATCGTCCTGTTACTTGGCTCCACACCTGAACGGTAACATGTGTTGTAGCAATATATTTCACATATCCGGAACCTCTCAAGTTACACTGTCGTAGCCATTTAATGGGTTTTCATTCGTCAAAATACGTTTTTAGAGAGAATAGTGGAACGTTCTGCTTATATACGGTTATAATAATGAAACGTTTTGCTGTGAGCATTAAATGTACGGAAGTAATTGAAGTTAACAGCTAGTGTTTGTGTGTTCCCTAAGTACGATATACTAATTTCTTTATTGTTACTTAATTATTATTGTTAATATATACAATCTTATTCTTATAGATATTTATTATTATACTGACTGTTTTGCATTGCTAGCTTAGTATAGGGATTTAGGATTAAGCCAAGTCTCCAAGCCTAGCCGAACCTCGTAAGATATTATTGGGTTTACGGCCAAACTAATGAAACAATGCATTCCAATCTTTATAAACCAGCACGCAAGAAAAGTATACCTAATTAGCTGTACTCATTGGCAAGTTGATTTTTAAATTTGCTCTAAGTAAATAGCTTACTCTGATCCGAATTCGGTAAATGTTGAACATCGCTTTTGACAAAATATGCGGATCCGAAGCTCTACAGTTATTAAGTTTATATATATATATCTTTCATTGTACATATAGTTTACAGCGTCTGATTACACGATATTAAAGAAAAGTTGTCCTATTTTACCTAAGTCTAACATAAGCAATTGAAGTCCAATATGGCGGAGTAAACTATAACCACGGGATATTTTGACGTCAACGAAAGATCTCTATAGCAAGTTAGGACATTTCATTTCTCAAAACTCTGATGGCTTTATTTCATGCTGTTTGCACACCTGAAACATGTTATAAAATACGACATATGCTTGGCTTTATGCATAAATCTAATTAGTTAAGCCTGTTCATATCATTTATTTGGCTGTCACTTGTCATCGTGCTCGTTTTGCAGATTTGTTTATTGTTTATTAGCATTACTGGATTGTAGTGAATTTTTTAGTGGGCTGCAATTCGCTGAATGTATGTATCTTGTAATGGTGCCAACAATGAGTCATAATCTGTTGGGAATATCCGAAGATACTT